AAAAAACTAAGTAGATGACTGGTCCCTCCCGAAAGTTTCAGCACTTCTTGTGTCAGACGGTGTTTTTGTTGCTGTTTTTGACGCTTTCTGTGGAGGCTGAAGTCCTGGTTCTTCTTTCCTATCAAACATCTATCGTCCTTATCTCCCCTTCTTCTTTTTTATGTTTGTTACTCTCTTGTAACACCTCTAATCTTCTGGCGCTCATATGACGTTATGCTGTTGCGAGCGCCTTAAAACCTCTACTAAAACTAAAACAAAAGAAATCCTGGTTAAAACGTTGAGCGGAATATTTCAAGGCCACAGTGAAAACTTCAGGTCCGCAGCATGAAAAGTTGCTGAGATATACTTTTTTTTTTGGTGTACCCTTGTTTATACCGAAATTGAAGGAAAATGAAAAAAGGATTATTATAAAAAGGTGAACTAAACTGAAATACAAGATGGTAGCAGGAAGTAAATGTATGCACGGCCGAAGCGAGAGAGGGGGCTGTAGTGGCCTAGAGGTTACGGTGCTCGCCTCTCATTCAAAGGTCCGGGGTTCGAATCTGGGTAGCGACCAAAAAATTTCTTCTCTAAAATTGTCTCCTTTCACCTCCTTTCCTGCTCTCTAGCTTTGTTCTGTCGTCTGTTTTCGTCTCCACTTTGTGCCCCCACCCCGTCGTCTCCTTTGCCCCCTCCACGTCGTCTCCTTTGCCCCCTCCTCTGGGCTCCTGACTCTTTGTGCAGCCTTTCTATTGCTACTCCTTGACTCCTTCTTACTGCTGTCTTTCAGCTGCACCCCTGATCTTCTGGTAGGAAAGATCTACACCTAGCCTTCTTGGACAAGGGTGAAAAATCTTGGAGGTCTCGTGTGCAAGTTGCACACGTTTAAGATCCCGTGGTGGTCTAAAGTTGATAAGAATAGGCTTCAGCCGCCACCCGCGCAAAATTCCAAATTTCCTACCAACTAAAAATGTTTAATGTGTCCCGCTTGCTCACATGATCTTATGCGGTTGCGAGAGCCGTAAAACTCTTACCATAAAAAAAAAAGAAGTGAGACATGAAATAAATGATCATAGGAGTATTGACAATACGTCGTGGACTGGCTCAGTATGTTCATTTTCTTAAACAGGTTGTACCTTGGTATTTGCTGGGTGGTGCCGCTGATCATTTCCTGCCTGCCTTTTGCTGGAGACGTGTACGGCCCCGCGGGAGCCTGGTGGTAAGTAGGTCGTGGGTCAAGAGGTCGTTTATTGTACCCCGCCTGTGATTGATTTGTACAGTGGAAATGTCCGAGACAGCTGCTTCGTCTTTCCTATCAAACATCTATCGTCATTATCTCTCCTCCTTCTTTCCTATCAAACATCTATCTTCCTTATCTCTCCTCCTTCTTTCCTATCAAACATCTATCGTCCTTATCTCTCCGTCTTCTTTCCTATCAAACATCTATCGTCCTTATCTCTCCTTCTTCTTTCCTATCAAACATCTATTGTCCTTATCTCTCCTTCTTCTTTCCTATCAAACATCTATCGTCCTTATCTCTCCTTCTATGACCTTATTGTGTTGCAAGTGCAGTAAAACTCTTACTGAAACTAAAAACACCAGTTGTGGTGGAGAAACACGATCGACTTACGTGGAGGTGTCTTTAAGTTTAAAAAAGATGGAGGGGGATGTGGGTTGGGGGGGTAGAGGAGAGTGGTAGTTTGTGCAGGTCATCCAGGAAGGTGGCTGTTGGAGCAGCGTATGGGGCTATTGGTATCATCTTAAAGCCTGTTCATTTGCCTTCCTTTTGGTGAAAAAAAATATATCCATCTATGTGAATAGAAGTCGAAATTTTTGCGATTGAAGGAGGTCAGGGTCGCCTGGTTTCAGAGGTAAAATTAGCAAGAAAATGGCCACCAAAGTTTGGTAACTTCCATAGCTTGAGAGTCCTTGGAAACTGAAAATTTACGTTTTTTATTCCTTTAATCAATGTTTTTATGCCCATCCACACAAAAATCTGTTTTTAAATGGACACAAAAGGTGCTGAGCCAAAAAAAGAAATTTAAAACAAAATTTCCCGTCCACCCCAAAAAATGCAGATTTCTTTGATTTCATTTTTTTTATGAGCACCTGATTTCATCACAATGCCTCACATTTGTCCAAGACTTGCCTGATCTTTTTTTTTTTTTCTTCTCAGCTGGATCATTGAAGACATATCCTGGAGAATTGGCATGTGAGTATGAACAATTCAACAATTTCTGTGTGGTGGCATTTGCCCGTGGCTGAGATATGGGTTTGATACTCATTGGAAAGGGGGAAGAGTGTCCCTTTTTTAAAACCTCAATACGTTAATTTTATCTTTTATTTTGGTTTTGTTCTTCATTCAAATGGGGGGGTTGGGATTAGAGTACAACGTTGAGGTGGGGGTT